AATTTGACACTCCAATAAGACATAATGGAGAAAAAGTATTCATGTAGCCAACCCCACTTAGTGGGACAAAGGTTTGTTATTGTTGTTGTTGTGCCAACCTCTCAATTTTCAATAATAGAAAACTACACTAATTAACACTTTCAGAGAATTTCTATTCTCAAATTTTTACAGATAGAATGATGATTTTGTTGTCATTTAGTTGTTTTTAATAACCGAATCTAAAATAAAATAAACTGGAATTTTAGTGGTTGGTAAAAGAAGATGGAATATGAGCATATTAAAGTGATACTGAATTCAATTTTTTGTGAATGGAAGGTGAGCAGAGTAGATAAAATTACTTTTGGATGTCCAAACAATCAATGTCGAGATCCCCATTTGTAGGTAATTTGCATTTTATAATTTTTTATGGATAAAGGTGGGAATGTTACAAATGATATTGGAAGAAGAACAACAGATGGAGGTTAGCATGATCCTCTTGGAAAAACGAGAAACCAAGAAGATAACTATGAAACATTAGTTGTTGGCATGCATAAGAGGACTATCAATAGGCCATGTTAAAAGTAAAGTGATAGTGTAGAAATTGATTGTTCTCCTAATAGGAAGCATGATAAGGCAATCATAAAAACAAATGTCAAACAATTGTGGCTAACGAACATATATAGTTGATCATTGGAGGGTGTTGCATAACATTTAATGAAGAATGTTGAAAGTCAATTAAAAGTGGTTGATTGATTCAGTCATCCTATTGATAGGAGGAAAGTTTGGGCAATCGGGATAGCGAGTATGAGAAATGACTAGCAAACATCAATCATCAATAGGCATTGGATAATGGTTGACAAAATATTATGATGTTGAGAGATAGTACGTGGTAAGATTGAGAATACTTATGATAGAAGGGGAAACTAAATGATCAAGATGAGGCGTGTCAAACATTACTAACTAAAAGATACCAATCATGGGTTGTAGGCAGGAGTTGAGCTATGAATAACGTGGAAATTTGATATTCAAACAAGAGGAGCTAATCGAATTGGTTCTTCTAAATAGGATTGAGGGGCCCAAGAGATTCGGCAATCAGAAAGATAAGAGTTGACCATCGAAAGCTAGCATATGCTAACTATTTATCATGTATATATCGGTTTATTATCAATAGAGAATATTAGAAGTCAAAAGATAATAGGCAGTTTGATTATTTCTCCTAGAAAGAGAAGAGACCAAGTGATTAGAAAGTGAGTGTTGGCTATTATTGGTTGTCAAATGTCAAATGATAGTTGATGGCATGCATCAATTGATGATTGATAGGGAATATCAAAATAAGGTAATGTTGGTTTGCCTATTTGGTCATTCTCAAAATATAAAGGGAGATAGAAAAGAATGATCCAATCCGCATTGCTGATGAATGTTGGTCATTAAAAAGCATCGAAAGATAATTACCAGGGAAGGTTAGATGTTGAACAATAATAGATGATCATTTGATCATTCTCTAGACATGAGAAAGGATCGAGCAACTAAAATGATGAACATTGAACAACAGTGCCTAAAAGATGCAAATTGTTAGAAGTTATGAAGTGAGTAGCAATTTTGAATGTCAGGATATCATATGCTAGTGGGTGGTCAATTTATTATTGTCCAAATAAGAGAAGATTGGGTGATTGAGAGGATGATTGATAGAGGATTTATTGGCAAACATCGAATGGTGTTCGTTGCAAGGCATCAAGATATGATCAATGAAGAATCTTAGAAGTAGAACTATGTAAGTGGTCGGTTTGATCATTTTCCTAAGATAAGGGAAGACACTTGCCTAGGAATATGTGCTTAGATTTAGGAGGGCAATGAAATTAGACATTAAGCATTGGCAGACCTCAAGCGACAATCAATGGGAAACATTAAGTGTCGGGCAAAAGTGGATAATTTTCTTAATCATTTTCTTGATAAAAAGAAAGATTAGTCGCCACAAAGATGAGCATCAAACATTAGTAGCTTGTCAAATTTAGACACTAATCATTAGCAAACATTTAGCAACATTTGATAAAGAATGTTAGTGACTATTGATACCTATGTCAAGCAACTACTAGTGGAGAGTATCATTGCCGACCAACATATGAAAAAGAGTAACATTAAACATTGTTATCGATCAACAATTGATGATGAGTTATGACAATTGTAAGTTGTCAATAGACAACAACAAACAATTTATGTTTGAAGGCAAGCATAACTCTCTATGCAACCCACTTCCCCCTCCCCTTCTATTGAAATGTGTAGAACATGATTATGCGTGTATCTACAAGAATTATAGACACTCTATTGAATAATAAAAAATTCCCCTTAATAATATTTTTTTAAAAAAATTTAATGCATTAATTAACTCAGAATTGAGCAATCATGGATTCATTAAACTAGTTTTGTTGATATACATGTTTCAAATATAAGCATGCAAAAAGTGAATGACACTTGAACCCTACATTGACCTTGAAAAGATTCCTAATTATCATTTTGAGGCTTAATTTAAGCTAACTTAAGCTTGAGTTCAATTAATTTTGGTCCAATTAGATTCTTATTAGTCTATTTGCACTGTCTCTATTATAAATTTGTTAAAAATAAAGTTTCATTTATATCAAAATTAATAGTCGAAGCTTTTGGCCCAACTATGTGAATTCTATGGGATAAAAATCACTTCAAAATTTGTGTCTAATTAAATAATTTTCTCTAACTATGTGAATAAGCTTGCAAAATTAGCTAATGGTTGTAAATTATTTTGTTGAAGTTAAAGATCATAAAAGCATGCAAGGTATAATTTTAACTAATGTAGCTTTGTTAAAACCATGAAATCTATATTTGGGATGATAGAAATATGTAATCTAGCTTACCTAAAGTTGTCAAAGACTAAGTTCGCGTTTTTTACCTTCTAGTACAAAAAAATTCAGCAATAAAATATTTTTTTCTCCCATTTTCACTTTTTATCATCATTTAAAATATAATATGATCCTCTAACTAATTTTGTCACACCTATGAGCATATGGTTTATCATCAATTCACAAGTTTCAAGTCTTCATACAGCAAATGTAAGCTTTTTATAGAGATATTTCAGTTGAGATTGAATGGACAATTTTTGTTATAAATAAGTATCTTAAATATATGAGAGTATCTTAAGCCGCTTTTAAGGGATGTCATAGCCTAAAAAATATAAAATAACTACTCAATTTATTTCAAAATTTTCATTTTTTGAACAAACTTATATTAGCTACTACAGAGAAGCCCAGTTAATTAATGTCCCAGTCAATTTAAAATATAGAACCCACATTTGGAGAATGCAATGTTCACATTCATCTCAACAGTAACCGTATTGCAATTTTAAGTATTAATATTCAGATTTACATAATTCACTTAAGCAAGCACAATCCAAATAAAAAATCACAATGTAAAAATTCATTTTAGTAGTGACCATATTCTACATAAGAGTATCAAAATTTGGAAAGGTGAATAAACAAAAACATCAACAACAATAGCAAAAAATGAAAACAAAACTTTTCAAGTAAGGAAATATCTTCATCAAATAAGGAGGTAAATAATGAACAAATCAAGTAATCAGAAAAACATAGTGGACTTTTGGCCCCTGGTGAAATTATATTGCAAGTTGTGGCCTACATGCTAAAGTGACAAACTAATAGGTGCAGCACGTTGCCGCTAGCTTTTTTTTTTCTTGACATGGCGAGAGATGAAGAGTATAGTTTTAATAGCAAGTCATTAAAGAAAACAAGTTACTATGATCCAGGTGCTTAGCCTCTTCCTGAACTAATTTTTTTTATAAATTAACCACCTACAGACACTCTTTTATTTTTTTAAGAAAGAATCCTTTTAACTCGAAATAACTAACTGAAACAAGAAGTTTTTGATGTCTGGTAATTACACAAAAAAAGGCTAACATATATTCTATCATTGCAAAGCAAACCAACTATTTTCAATATGTTCCGCAAATCAAGCAGGCAACTTGGGTTTAATCAAGCCAACCAAACTTTTTTATTATTTTTTTTTTTCAAAAGAAAATTGTCAGTTGCTTTTACTTCTTCCATCTGAAAGTCATTCTTCTTCATTTTTCATTGTTTAGAACTGCACCAAACGCAATTAGCTGAACATCTAACTTCTGCATCAAAATTAATGCTAAACCATAAAATAATATTTAGCGATGATTGCATAGGTCATAGGGCGGTCCAGAGCCTCAAACGCATCTAGCTTCTAGCATTAAACCAGGGCTGTAGTTACCGTCCCCCCTCCCAATGTTCAGCGTAGTTCTAACCCTTTTCAACTGAAAGGGAAAAAGTAATGGAAATCAATAAATGACTTCTATATGGAAAATTACAACAACTAAAATTAGTTGATGTAAAAGGATGATGAAGAGAAACTTTTCGCATGTCCTAAAATTGTTCAAACAGGGTAATCTCGATCATCCTTTAATCAAAGAGATCTAATCTCAAGGAATTTATTCAGAGAAAAATTATTAAGAAAATTGCAATCCAAAAACAATCAATCTAAAAGAGTACCAAATCGAAATACAAGGAACTCAGAAGTGCAAGTTATTCAACTAGAGAGCGATTGCCAACATAATTGCAATCCACCATAAACTGACTAAAAGAGAGAGGGCAGAGGATGAGAAGCTAAACCCAGGCTTAGAGTAATACTCACCTAGTGTTAACGTAGACAAAGTAATTGAGATCACGGAATTGTTTTTTCTTGAAGAACCACAATACGTCAAAATTAAAAACAAAAAAAAGAACATTCAGAGCAAGCTATTGTACTTCCCACCAGCTGTTAAAACAAAGCAATCAGTATTACCTCTAAATTGAAACCTCAATAATTTCAATCAGAAAGCAATTATGACAGGAATTGCAACCCAAGAAAACAAATCAATATCCGAAGTTATTGAATCGAAAAAAATGGCAATTCAAAAAATATAATAGCAATAAAAGAAGAGAAGGATGGCGGTTCGCCGAGATGGAGAAGCGGACCATGAACTGATCAAGCTCCTTGTCTTCCCCAGTGATCATCTGCCCAGCACCGAGGGCAGAGTACTTAGCGACAACCTGCTGCGACTGCGCGAGCTGAGCGTCGATCCGCGGCAGCTGGTCCACCGGCGTCGCGATGCGGAGGCATGCCACATGAGCTGAGAGCAGCTGCTCATAAAGCGGGTGCCCCAATATCTCTGCCTTATACCTCGCGTTCTGCCACGTCCCCTCTACTGCTTGCTGCTCCAAGCCGTCGCCACCTACAGTCGTCGTATCTCCCTCTCTGCAGTTGCCGGCGGTGGCAGGGTCCGACATCGCAGCTGCGATCATCGAATCACTGGACACAGGGACGTCGTCCTCGCCAGTGTGAAAGTGGTCCTCGGAAGCTGTTTGAAGGTGGAGGAAGCTGCCGTCAGAGAAGTGGTGGCCCTGGGGCCGTAGGACGGAACTGTTGAGCCATGTCAGGCCCCCGGAGAGCTGTTGTGCTGCAGAGGCAACAGTTCCGGACGGCTTTACGGTGTTGCTGGAGGATGGCGGGACTAGGTGGATGCCGCCAGTTGGGTCGCCCAATTGGTGTTCGGCGAGTTGCGTCAAAGACATCTCGTGAGCCAGGTGGCTGTGGTACGCCATCCTCACCTCATCCGATTCCCTCCCTAGTCCCCACCCACTGCAAACTTGTAGCAGAGATAGAGAGCAAGAGGGCGACGTTGAAGCTTCTGAGCACAACGACCAGTGGACCAGAGAGCGTCAAGTTTCCGCGATTATGTATCTTAAATTAATATCTAATACTTAAAATGGCAGGATGTTTTGGGGAAAATGTTTGGGCGGAGCAGCAATAATTTCGAGGAGAGTTGCATTTTGTTTGTTTTTATGTTTGATTTTGATGTCGCGCCGATTACTGTTATGTAAGGCAACTATATTTCTATTGCGCGTGTAGAGTTTATGTCATTTTGAGGGAAAAGTCATTCGTACGCAGAGATGTATACGTAATAGAGTACACGGGCGTTATACGGGATTACAAATACATTTTGAGGGAAAAGTCATTCGTACGCAGAGATGTGTACGTAATAGAGTACACGGGCATTATACGGGGTTACAAATATGTTATAACTTCCTTATAACTTTCGTGTAACTCACCTGTAACTCACGTTTTTATTTTATCCATTGGGGTTACAGGATTACAACGATTTCTTGTAACTTTCGTGTAACTCACCTGTAACCCGGATTTTTATTTTATCCATTGGGGTTACAGGATTATAGCGGGGTTACACGAGAGTTACACGGGAGATACAACGGGGTTATAACCTACAACGGGGTTATAACCCCTTGTAATCCCCGTGTAACCCTCGTGTACCATTTTACGTACGTAACTCCTTATTTCTTCTCCCTAATATAAATTTGGATGCAATTTTTTTTTAAACTTGAAGGATTTAGATGATTTAATAGAATCAAATTAAATAATAAATAAAATTGATTGAACCAATTTCAAATATTATAAATTTATTATATCCCAAAAAAAAAAGTCAAAATGGTTCAAAAATGAAACTTACGTGTACCTTAATATCGAAGTTTTAAAGATTTAATGTCTCAATATAGTAAGAAAATCGAACATACATATAGATAATGAGAAAGTAATAAGAGAAGAAGTTACGTCTTTTTAGAAAAAAAAATCATAAAAAATAAAAAATCACATGGCTTAGCCCAAGTAACATGATCAACTATAAATTTTCATTCATAAATGTAGACTACAACAAAATAAGAGTTATAATGTTACAATAAGTACAATGTTCGTTTGTATATGATATACAAAAAGATTTGATGTATTCTGAATACATAACTCGACAGTAGTTCACATCGGCAGTTATCTTCGAATCTTTAGTACATCATATTCGTGGTATGTTGTTGTATCATATTTAAGGATACTATTACTCAACAAAGTTCTTTATTAATCAATAGAGTCTACTAATGGCGGAGAGTAGGAGGTTGATGGTGCTTTTCGACTGCCGACAGGCAGTATTTAACGGCTTTGGAGGTTGAAAATTATTTTCGGGTCTTCAGTCAAGTATAACATTTGAATTAAGCTCATTCTTCTCCATTTGTCCCCCTTTCAAATGACAAGGGGAGTCTATTTATAGGCCATACAAAGGGGTATTTTCGTCATTTGGCGAAAAACTTCCATAACAACTTGATTAAACGACTCCTGTTGATTCCCTTTGGTCATAGGAGACTTTATGATAATATGATGGCCTTAATGACCTCAAAATCGAATAATCTTGGGCTCGTTGGATTTCTCCAGTTGAGATGTTCGATTTTGCTATAATTACCTCAAATTTAGAGTTCATTTGACTCTTCAACCAAGTACCTAAAGCATCGAAATATGATTTAATGACTTGAATCGGGCTTGATTGGACTCGAATTGGTCAAATTTTGCTACCATTGGGTTTATATTGTCGAAACAGTCAGTTTAACTA